TTACATCTGATACCCGTTGTGGCGGTTATAATTTCAGAAAAAATACCTGTTGAATAATAGGGCGATTGCGGTGCAAAAAAATTAACCAACGTAGCGCTTAGACTTATATGTATTAGGAGTGGGCTCGGGCCGGGTCAACTGGCCCGGAACCGGACCGGCCCGCTATTGTGCGGGCCCGGACCGGCCCGGTTTGGCGGTTAGGTCACGGTTCGGGCCACCCGACCTGGTCATCAAGCGGTTTGGTCCCGGGCTCATATTTTGGTGAACCGGCCGGGCCAGGCCCGATCCGGGCCTCAACGGTCACTTTTTTTTTAAAAATAATTGAAGGCTCCACTAGCCGTTGGGAGACCTCCCAAACGGCTCTATAGCCGTTGGGAGCATAGGAGGGGGGGGGGGGGTCTGGGGGGTTAGGGGGGTGGGGTATACCAAAAAAAACCTATTTATACTCCTATTTTCTATACATTTTTTACACCTCTTCTTCTACAACTCTTCCTACTCTCTAAATTCTCTATTCTCTCAATCTTTCATATTCAATCATCTTCATTCAATCATTCTTCATCTTCTCCAAATTCTTTCTACACATATATAATTTTAATAATTATTATATCTACTTATATATTAATTATCTACTTATAAATATATACTTATACACATTCATATTATAATTCTTTACGCATTATATTATATATACTATATATAGTTATACATTATATTATATATTACTTATAATATATTTACACATTATATATTTATATATACTATATATATAAATTACTTAATTTATATATACACTTCTCGTTTATCTATTAAATTACTTAATTGTTTCATTTGTCGTATTAATATTAGTTAAAGTAGTTAATTGTTTCATTTGTCATATTAATATTAGTTAAACTAGTTAATTGTTTCATTTGTCATATTAATATTAGTTAAAGTAGTTAATTGTTTCATTTGTCATATTAATATTAGTTAAAGTAGTTAAAGTTAATTGTTTCATTTGTCATATTAATATTAGTTAAACTACTTAATTGTTACATTTCTCATATTAGTTAATTGCTACATTGCTCATTAAAGTAGTTAATTTTTACATTTCTCATATTACTTAATTGCTACATTGCTCATTCAAGTAAAAAAAAAGTAGTTAATTTTTACATTTCTCATATTAGTTAATTACTTAATTGCTACATTTTTACATCTCTCATATTAGTTAATTGCTACATTTCTCATTAAAGTAAAAAAAAAGTAGCCAATTTTTACATTTCTCATATTAGTTAATTGCTACATTTTTACATTTCTCATATTAGTTAATTGCTACATTTCTCATTAAAGTAAAAAAAATAGTTAATTTTTACATTTCTCATATTAGTTAATTACTTAATTGCTACATTTTTACATTTCTCATATTAGTTAATTGCTACATTTCTCATTAAAGTAGAAAAAAACTAGTTAATTTTTACATTTCTCATATTACTTAATTGCTACATTTTTACATTTCTCATATTAGTTAATTGCTAATATTTGTTCAATTTTAAAGATGGAGCGTGATAGACATTCTGTAGATATGGGTAATCTCCAACGCAACCGCAAGAAGGAGATTGCATCGACTCGATCTACTTCACGCAAAGGCAAAGGTAAAGCGCGGGCCGAGTCTTCTTTTCAAAGTCGAGATGATTTTGAAACGGATTACCAACGGCGAGATGATATGATGATGTCCGACGAGCAACTACAACACCTATTGTCCCAAAATGATCCACGTTTTGCACAAGAACAACAATTTCCGACAACCATCGATGAAGAGGAGCTCGAGGATGACGATGCGGAGGAGGACGCGGGGGGCGACGAGACTCCGGATGATGAGCAAGAGTTGGAGGACGAGGGCCGTTCAACGACTACAACCCAAATTGGTAAGAAATCTAAATCTCCTATTATTGAAAACAATTATACAAAAAGGAAAGACGAACAAACCGAAAAATGGTACGCAAGTTGCAATCATTGCAAGAAAGAGTTTAGCTTGGGAACTTCTGGCGGATACGAGAGTCTCAAAAGGCATCTTCAGTCCGCCCACTTTGTAGAGTATGCGAAAATAGACAAAGGCAAGGGGAAGAAAACACAAATATCGAGGTTTGCAAATTCTCAACCCTTTGGTAATTTTTCCTATGATGATAAAAAACATTTGACTGGTATGTCTCATTTAATTGTTGAAGAAAATTTACCCTATATTTTTCCGAAAGTCTTGCTTTAAGAGATTATGCTCAAGGTACTTTAAATCCTCAATTTAGAAATTATAGTCGCAAAACGATTAAAAAAGAAGTAATAAGGCAATATAACTTGGGAAAAGAAAAATTACAAATATTTTTCGCAAACTTTGATGGACGTGTTAGTATTTGTAGCGATATATGGGAGGATACTTATCATCATTTATATTATTTGGGTCTTACTGCACATTATATTGATGATGATTGGAATATGCATAAACGTGTTCTTGCTTTTCGTGAATTCAATGATCGTCACACTGCTGATAATATTTATATTCTCATTGAACGTATTTTAAGTGAGTATAATTTGATTGATAAGGTGTTTGCTGTAGGTTTTGATAATGCTAGTAATAATACTGCTGCTATACCTAGATTACGTGAATTGTGTGGTGCTTCTACATTGATGGGTAGGTTTTTTCATCAACGTTGTGCATGTCATATCCTAAATTTGTGTGTACAAGATGGCTTAGCGGCATTAGGAAATGCTTTGGAGGTAGTGAAGGGGGAAATTAAATTGATTTGGGCTAGCACTCCACTAAAAATGCAATGTCGGCAATATTTGAAGGATAGACGTGTGAATTATTGTGCTTTTCCTAAAGATTTGTCTATTCGTTGGAATAGTACTTATAATTTAATTCAAGTACTTGTTAGATATAAAGATCATTTTCCAGCTTTTTTAAGACAAACTTGTAACTATATTATAAACCCGGCTGACATCGACACTTGTGAAAAAATTGTTAATGTTTTGGCATACTTTAATAACGCAACTCTAACTTTTAGTCATGTTTATAAACCTACCGCAAACGAATTTTTTGTTGAAACTGTTAATCTCGCCGGCGCTTTTTGTGAATTTTCAGAAGCCACTTACGTTAGTTATTTTTGTGATTTCATGAAACAAAAGTTTTTAAAATATTATTCACATATTCCGCATATATAGGATATTGCATTTGTTCTTGATCCTCGTTATAAACTTGCTTACTTGGCAAATTGTATAGATTACTATTATGCTTCTTTTTTTTCAACTCAAGAGTTCGATGATAATCCCATCGACCCTAAACAAGAATTCAACGAGGTTAGTAATATCAATCGTATAATGAATTTCATGCACAATATGGTAATGCACCCCCTCCCATGCAACGAACATCTTCTTCATCTATAGGAAAATCATTTTTAAAATCCGCTTTTGGTTCTCTTTTGAAAAAAAGTAGAGCAACTCCCGCTACTGAACAAAGCTCAGGTAACGAGCTTTCTTTGTATCTAACATTGAATGTTGATTATGAAGTTGGTGATGACTTTGACGTCCTTAAGTGGTGGAAGGAAAATGAAAGAACATTCCCGATTTTATCAAAGATGGCTAAGCAAGTGCTAGCAATGCCGATATCAACCGTTGTCGTGGAACAAGAATTTAATGCGGCCAACAACGTCCTAACCGATTATAGAACGAGGTTGAACCCGAACTCTCTTGAGACACTAGTTTGCTTTCACGATTGGTTGAAGGCCCAACGAAGAACTCAAGAAATTACCATCACTCCCACTCGCCACTTTATGGAGGAAACAACCGAAGGTGGAGATTCCGATTGATTTTTTATTACAAAATGTATTACATTTTTTAAATTCATCCTAATTCTCAATTGTACTTCTTATTTGAAATAAATACACTTCAATTCGAATATAATATATTGTAATTGTAATAAGAATTATTCTAATTATATAATATATAAAAAAAATTAAAAGGCCCAGCCCGGCGGGCGGCCCAGCCCGTGAACCGGACGAGTGACCCGAACCGAACCGGGGGTTATCCGGGCCGGTTTCGAGCCTGCCTTCGTTGAACTGAGGCCCGGCCGGTTCTAGGCCCGAACCGAGTCCACCACTAATATGTATAACCATTCCCGACTCACCCTATTGTAGGGATGGACCCAGGCCGGTCCGGTTCCGGGCCAGGCCCGGGCAGGCTTTTATTGTACAAACATGGACCCGGAACTGGCCCGGTCGAGTTAGTCTCGTGATAGTGTTGCTTCGTTAAAGATGTTTTTACCTACAATTATTTCAGTTCCAAACTAAATCAGATCAAACCAGACTTCGATAGTTATAAATACATAGAGCCCATACATCTTTTGGATCAAACCAGAAAGTTTTTGTCCCAAGTAAAAACATTCTACACAATCTTCATGTGATTAACTATGATCAGTTCCTGAAACCTAGTTGCATTGGAAGTTGGAACTAACCCCTAATCTCTTTTGTCATTTAATCATTAGAACCATATATTTTAATACTTTTTCACTGCAATCCATATCCAATCCAATCTGGCGCGACTCGAATTTAGTTATTAATTTCGAAATTACTGAAGTAACATGTGATATCAAAGATTACATATTTTGAGTGAAAAATTGTCTAATAAGCTGAAAGTAGAAGTTCACAAACATGCGCTTAGACACAAATTTAGGCATGGACACGGTCCGATTGTCCAGCCTGATCTCGAACCGAGTCCAGGTCTCCAGTTTCAAACCTAGGAGGCTAGGACCAACCCTATTTGTCCGTACACGGTCCTGGTTCACTTGTATCTAAGTAATACTAAAAGTTACAAACTTTCTCTAAGAAGCTATTGGGTGTGGCATTTCCAAACACACAATTAAGAACTTTTATGGTCTTTTTAAATTGTAAAAGACTAGAATGTAGCTTTTATCAAAGCTAACCCTTGCTAAAAACATGAAAATATCTTCTGCACTGGTTGTTCCAAACGTACACAGACTGCACAAACGCGGACATTATAAAGAATAGTACTACCAGCAACTATGTATAGTTGAGATAAAATTCTTGAAATGTCATGTTCAAAGTATAGATATGAAAAAAGTTATGGTGCTGACCGCTGAGAGTGAAACGAGGTGATGGTTTAAGGAATAGGCAGAGATGAACAATACAAAAAATAAACATCTTATGGCCCAGAAATATAAAATAAATCCATCAACAACAAACAGAAACCACCAAATTGAAATATAAAAAACAGAAGAACAAGAGGCAATAAAAACAAATGAAATGAAAGCCCGAGGAGCTCAGGGTGATAGATAACACTAGTTCGCCAATGAACGGGACTGCAGGTGGTGGTGCATGAAATGCACTGCAAAAAAAACATAAGTTATAAGACTAGTGTGATTACCTTAAAAACAGATCTCAATCTCATTTTCATTTCTGAGGTAAACACAAAAAGTAAGAAGACAGCTTTCTCTAGCATTATATCCCCCTTCCCCTGGCATTTCCTAGGATCCAAGGAGACAAAACCAGGATCCAAATTTGCTGCTCAAACCTAATATGATGAATAGCCACCACACCATCCCACTACCTAGTTTGAAAACTGGCTAAAATATTGAAAATTAACAAGCATTACCGGTTAATAACTAGTGGTCATAGGAACATCCCATATCCAAGAAAACAAGCTTTGCCAGTTAATAACTAGTGGTCATAGGAAGTTAGGAACATTAACAGTATCAAGTAGGAGATTTGATTATAACTTGTAAGCCACGAGAGAGACTAAGAAAGATAAATATCTTCTAGATAATAACAATTGGAATAATAGAACAGTCAATTTATTATAAATCTCGGATAAATTACTTGTCTATTATGCTGTCAAGGTTTGATTTTTTTATTGATTGAACCCAACATTTCCTTCCTGTTCAAAAGGGGTTTTCATATTCTTTAAGCATTTAAACACTCATTAATATATAAAAATAGTCTTAGTTCTTTAAAATACTTATCCCAAAACGTTCAGACACTCAAATTCATTACACTTGTTATAGGCACAAAAAATCGACTACATAAAAAGTAAGAACTTGCATGTTTATACTCATCTTTAAGTATGTTTGCCTAAAGAGGCGAACAAGCTGGTGTGCTACCCACAATAGCAATGATAAAATCACGATCCTTAAAATCAGATTTGACTAAAAAGATTAAAAAGTGACATGTAATTGGATTTATTATCCTTTATATTATTAAACTATACACACAAAATGAGTTTGGACTCGTATCTAATTTTGATTTTTTTTAGTTACAACCAATCCTTTTATTTTCAACAGATTTCTTTCCCCTTCAGACAGGACACCCCCCACATGCAAAAATTAATCTTATACTATGCTACCAGTGATAGGAGAAATAATGAATGCTACAACTTAAATGCCTAGAGAGTCTACATGTAATCTAATCTTAAGCTAATAACAAAACCCATGAAATAATTTAACAAAAATCTAGGGAAAAGGTACTTGTGCTTGGGCCTGTTTTCGGATAGGGTCATGTGTTTCATTTTTTATCAAAGTGGTTCATGTGTTTGAATTCCGTTATCACAAGAGGGTCACACTGCTAAAAACACCTGAGAAGACGGTTAATAGCAACTCCGATTTTCAAAAGTGCCCGAAAAATTAAAAGAAAAATACCGGAAGGTGCGCCTCAACAAGACGACCGCTAGGCCATCTTTCGTTTTTGTTTCCATCCACCCTTGTCACCGGAAAGTCCACCGGAAAAGTGATATTAGCGAAATCATTTTTAAAAATAATTCAAACAGATTCGAAAAATCCAAAGGTGAAGGTGATTTGGAGGTAATCTTGACGAGACACACCTTTTGGTATTTTTCTTTTAATTTTCTGGGCGCTTTAAAAAATCGAAGTTACTATTAACCGATTTTCTCAGATGTTTTTACGGCGTGACCCTCTTGTGATAACGGAATTCAAACACATGAACCACTTTGATAAAAAATGAAACACATGACCTTATTTGAAAACGGGTCCAACCACAAGCATCTTTTCCGTACTTTTCCCAAAAATAAATGCCATATCAATATACTACACTACATTTCATTTTCATTACAAGTCACTCTTGATGAGTATGATACTTTATTATGTCTCTCTGATGACAAAACCATTACATGATCACATCCTCCAACTAAACATTGAAGCCATGGGTAGGATCAAAAAATGAGATTGAGAACACATTGAGAATCCATGAGATCATCTGAATTGTCCCAAAAAGTAAAAATCTTGAGGGCTTTCTGTCTTGCACAATGCTAACTGCTAAGTAGAAAAAAGTCATCTCTTTTACTATGGGAAAATAGAAGAGAGAATGGAATATTATTAAAAGGGTTTTATTTACATTCAGATTTTTTATTCTTTATCTGGAACATAATAGAAAGAAATATATACTCCCTCCGGTTCTCAAACAACTTCCCACTTTCCTTTTCGGGAAGTCCCGAAATTAACTTCACACTTCTTCTTATTTCCTTATTTGGCAAATTATCTACACCAAAACAGTGCAAAACAATGTCTAACAGTGCCAAACAGTGTCCAAACAATGCCAAACAGTGCACTCCACAGTAAAGTCAAATTTATTTTCTTAATCTGTGTGAAGTCAAACTGTGAAGCTCTTTGAGAACCGGAGGGAGTAGACCAAATTTGAACATGTGTCTAAAATACATTTGTTGAATTTAAACTAATCTTTAATGTTCCCTCAAATTTATTTCCATTTAATTTTCTTTTAATTTTAACTCCTGGTGTTCTTTTCCTAGCATTTTCCAAGTTCCATACCGACCCCAAAAGAGTGGATGCAACATACGTGACACAACACAATCAGTATATGAAAAAAAACAAATTGCTTAGCATGTAGACATACACCATAAGGCAGCGCCTAAAATCTGAACCAATCAATCTGAATTACAACTCACAATGAAATTTCTTGTTTGAATTTCCCAATATCAGGCATTGCTGCTCTCATTTAACATCGCCAGCATTATCATCAGAATCTGAATCACTAAGATTATACCCTATATAGAAACACGAGTTACCAAACACATTAGCAATCAGAAAGTATCTTAAAGCAAGTCAAGTCAGCAAAAAAAATGAAAGAACCTGGGCGTTTATCACTGACTTTCCATGCTGAGGAACGCGTTCTTGATGCCCTGCTTATCCATGCTCTTCCCTGCACCCAAAACGAAGAGTTGAACAATCTGATTGTTGTTTTAGAATAGAGAGAGAATCATATGAACGTCAAATGTGAAGACTGCTTCCAAGTACAACCCAACTTGAAAATTACTACTTACCTCATCCTTATACTCCAGTTCGATTCAAGAGTTACTACTTCATAGTTTTATTTAACATTTGTGATGTAAGATCACTCATGCGGTGATAACCATTAAAATTTAAAAGAATCAGCTATTCAATTGAAGAAACATTAAATTACCAAAATTTTCCAACACAAATCCAAAAACTCAGCAAAGAAGGTAACTATCCAATGAACAAAATTCAGATGTAGGCGAAACCAACAGCACAGGTACAGTGTGGGAGAAAGAACCAAACACCTTCTCAGCATCTACGGGTACGCCATACCCAGAAAAGTACATCTGACCCACAAGGACCTGCATGGAGATATCGCCGGCCTTGGCCTCCTTGAGGGTGTCCTGGAACCACCGTCTAATGCAATCAGTCACCACGTCGGCCAGCGGTACCCGGCGGTGCTCCGACGATGAAGTGGAAACAGCACTCTCCTCCATCTTATACCTCCCCAGCCGCCGCTCCGAAGATGATGATTCTATGACTCTGATCTGCCCCTTGACCTTTGGTTCCCCGGAGGGGAGAAGTGGGCGGGGTTTATATCCGGGCTTGGCCTGGGCGGCGCGGTGGCGGGGGAAGCTGTCTGAGCCGATAAAATTCACAAAAGTTTTGAGCTTTGTTGGATGTGGAAGTGATTTCCCCATAAAACCAAAAAAGAAAAGCAAAAAATGTTCCGTATAAATGACAAATCTTTGAATTTGCGCAAAGAAAATGATCGGAAGAAGGGTAAAGTTGAAAATATAATTCTTATTCTGCTTTTCTATTTGATCCGAATTTCGCAGTTTGAGGCACTGTATTGACTGCTGAGTGCTGAGTACTCCCATCCAACCAATTTGAATTCAGAGACTTGGGTAGTGTTTGCAAAAAGATAAAAATAAGTGTTTTTCGATTTTTGATTTAAAAAAAGTTGAAATTAATGTTTTCAATGTCTGCTTTTATTTAAATTAAGTACTTAAAAGTTTTTTTTTGAAGGAAAATGACTATATTGATATCATTAGAATCAGTATCGTTACAACAATCTCAAAATGACAAGAACTGATAACAACATTCAGCTTCCAACTACTACTTTTAGCCCTACGATCAGACATAGAGACGACCATCCCTAAAGGAGCAATACGAATCACTAACCACTAGACGGGCTTAATGCAGCTATTGCTGAAAAAATAGATCTGTTCCCCACTAACAATATCAAATCTAGCTGAACCCTCGATCAATGTAAAAAACCTATTACCATAAGCAAATACCAAAAACAAAACGATAGCAACTAATTTCTTCGAAAACAGACTAAAAATGGGGACAATGAATTTAAGCAGGATGAACTTATTGAGCCGTTGAAACCAATCTTCCAGTGCGGTGTTCCGACCCCTAATCACCCATTTACAGCATGGCGGCGGTTCAGGAGGGGGGTGAATCTTCATCCCTTCATCTTCTTCCTTCAACACCTTGATCTGCCCGTGATTCGCCTCCATCTCTTGGCCAACATACTGCACGAGCACAACCAGTCCAAACGCAACCAGTCTCCAGATCCCTATCATCTCCCCTGTGCTGCAATTGAGATTTGCCAAGACCCTCCGATCCCGAATGCTCCCACGCCCCACCTTGTGCCCCAGATGAGGAAAACTAGCAAAACTCGAGGACACTGAAGCGCCAAAAGCTATAGCGCCGCCCGCCGAAAACCTAGACTTGCTAGGACCGTCGCCGCCGTTAAACTAAGCCCTTCGCCGCTCTTCTCTCCACTCCTAGGGTAATTCTATTCACATCCCCTAAGTACTTGAAAATTAAAAGCTGATAATTGATATGTTGATGCTTCTAACTGTTTCTTGCTATTTTTGTGAATAAGTTGAACTTCAAGAATAATCTATCATTATATAAAAAGAGGTGGAAAACCATGTGTTTTTCCCGCCTAAACTATCAGCCATAAATGGGTCGGGTCAACAGTACAAACGGGTTAAGAGTTGTGAATTGACATAGTTGGTTGTGGTCATTAAATGCACTGCCTGAATGAAATTTGAAATCTCAAAAGCATTTGTGCATTGGGCTTTGAAGTATGACCGGTTGTTCTATTTATGGGTAAAAAACTTTACTTTTATTGGTTACTTTATTTAATAAAAAAATAGTAAAATTGGGTCATTAAGAGTTGTGAATTAAATGGGTCGGGTCAACAGTAAAAACGGGTTAAGAGTTGTGAATTGACAGAGTTGGTGGTGGTCATTAAATGCACTGCCTGAATTAACTTTGAAATCTCAAAAGCATATTCGCATTGGGCTTTGTTGGTAAGCATATTCTCAAAAGCATATTTGCATGGGTCGGTTGTTCTATTTATGGGTAAAAAATCTTTACTTTAAATGGTTACTTTATTTGATAACAAAAACAGTAAAAATGAATTTAATTCAAACTGTTGAAAGAGCATCTTTATTGAACCAACACAACCACCAATTCATTCGGAAGAGAATGCTTTCCTAAAAGAGTTCACATATTCAAATCAAGCCTCGGGTATTTGGTAGATTTGCGAAAATGGGAAACTCAATTTATGAGGTCTTACTTTACCCTCAGTAAACAGAGATCCAAAGGATATTTGTGCTATCCATAACTATTTTGACCATCCAGCTCAATGTATGATTTACCCTACCCATCCTATATTATAAATAGGACATTGCACAACAAAGCAAACCACACCACTCTTCACTATTCTCACTCACAATACTAAGTCGCTTTGTTGGTAAGTTCATTGATCAACAATGGCTGAGAGCCCCAAAGCCAATGGACTGTGGTCCTACATCAGTGACATTGATCACACCAGGACCACATGGGCAGTGCGGGTGAGGGTAGTAAGGGCCTACGAGGTTGCAGCCCATGCCAAAGGCGGAAACACTCTGGAAATGGTGCTACATGATGAAGAGGCATGTCATCATCCTTGATGGTTGTTATTCAAGAAAGTGTTCACATTTTCGAAAATATTAATCTTTGTACAATTTACAGGGCAACCGCATTCATGCAGTGGTGAAGAGACCTCAGATTGCTTTGTTCGCATCCAAAATCAAGGAAGACCATGTGTACACGATGAAGAATTTCATTGTGCGGAACAACTACCAACTATACAAAACTACGTCTCATCCTTATCTGTTGGAGTTTGTGACCAAAACCAAAGTGGTTTTGCTAACACATGAATTTCCTAGCTTCCTCTATGACTTTCAACCATTTGAAATGTTGCAAGCTCAGAGGCTGCTCAACGATAAACTTCTTATCGGTAAAGGCAAACTAAAACTATTTTTTTGTTATAACGATACCGTTCAGCATTCACAGTTTTATTTTTGGCTGTAGATGTGATAGGTAAAGTGGTTGGCCGTTGCGCACCACACAGCCATGTGATCAACAACCGAACGGAGAGGTTAATGGAACTTACGCTAGAAGACTCTGAGTAAGAGTTCCATTGCATTATTAGATTACTTGGTACTTATAGATTTCTATATATGTGTGTGTGTATCATTTTTCTAAAAATATATCTTATTTTTTTTGCGGAAACAGTATTGGTTGTACACTTTGGAATAACAACATCAAACAATTTAACGACTATGTGGACAAATCAGGGAACGAAGCCATCCGTATCATTGTGCAGCTGTGCCGGGCAAAGCACTACAAAGGTTCTATCTACCAAACTTTTCTGTTATCATTTTTGGCAACACGATACAACATACCTAACATTTGAAACCTATGTAGGAAACATATCAGTGTCTACATCTTTTGACGTGACAGGATTTTAAATCTCTGTAAGTGGAAGAAACTTTTGGGTCACTGAAAAGCTTTAGGTGTTCTGATATACATTTTGTACAGGTTCAATGAGGAAGGGGACGAAACCGGAACTCTAACGTTCCAGGGTACACAGTCACAAACCGGTCATGATGACATTTTGGGTGGAAATGTATCACTGACCTCTGTAAGCGACTTGCTTGAAAAAACTGAGGTGCTATATTATAACTTCGTTCCTAAACAGTTTATTATTCTTATCAATTTCAGTGTGAACTATTACCTAACTGATAACCATTTGAAATATTTCACGAAGGAATATACTGGGTTCTAGCAGACATTGTTTCTATTGACAGCTTCCGCGAATGGTGCTACTTAGGTTGCACCTCATGTAACAAGAAGTTAGCTCCTGATGGAAACAGGTTCCGATGTGCAGCATGCAACATAAGTCTGGCTGAAGGGGTATTAAGGTGAAGTGCATCGTTTATGTGATTAACAACTTTTCCTAATATTGAGACAATTTTGATAACCGCCTAATAGTATTCTCTTTGTTCATGATTTAGATACAAGGTCAGTGTGTGTTATGGATGATATAGGCCATGCACCATTTACCCTTTGGGACAGAGAGTGTACAGACATATTAGGGAAATCAGCAGCAAGATTGAGAAATGAGGTTGTAGAGGTTCGTTTTTGAAAAGAATACAATGATATTGAACTTCAACATGAAATTTTTACATTAATAAACGAGTAATGAAAATATGAATTTTTATCTTTTGAAAAAAAAAACAGAAAACAGGAGACTCTAGCCACTTTCCTGAAGAGATTGAGGCAGTCATAGATAAAAGAGCTTTGTTTAAGGTGCAAGTGAAGAAGAAAGCAGAAGGAAGTTCTTACCAAGGGAATAGTTCGTTTGGGGTGCTGTCCATGTTCAGGTATCCAGCTATTTTGACAATGTACAAGACAAAAGAAGTTGAGACTGCGGAAGTTGGTGATCTAAACGAGAAGGAGATGGTAACCTACTTCTAGATGTTAAATATATAAACTTGAAAACATATATGCATTAATTTTGAAGATTATTTTTTCAAAGCGGATCTGTGAACAATGTAGAGCTGAGTGCAACAAACGAGGAACTTGGAGAAACATCACATGATAAGGTACTTTACAGTTTTGTTGCCTTTAAGAATTTTTAAATAGATGTCACGATTAAGGCATTAAACCTAACACTGAATGTCAACATTGTTTCAGACCCCACATAAACGTGACAAAAAAATGTTGTTATAAACTTGGAGGACTCAATGAAACGAAAGTTGGTTGATGAGTTATCAGCAACAAAGCCAGCCAGAAAGATGAGGGTGAAGATTAAGAACGAAAAAGAGTAGGCCCCAGTTATTAAGGAGAAGCAGACTGCAAGTGGTTTTGTGGAAAGAAGTTTTTAAAAGTGCTTAAGAATGTTATTTGTTTGAGTCAACTCCATTGCAACTCGAAACTACTATTATGCAATTGTTTTTAACTCTACTAAGACTTATCTACGTTGAATCTCTGTAACGGACCAGAATACCACGAGCACTTCTGGTGCGAACATCAGGCCTGGAGCACTTCTGATGCGACCAGAAGACCCCACCAGAACTGCTCTCTGGTGTTCTGTTGAGACGGCACAAGAGACCCTCTCAGGTCTTCTGTTCGGAGGCCTCCAGAGACCCTCTCGGGTCTTCTGGTCCGGAGCAGTTCTGGGAAAAAATAAAACGTTACGGGAAGAAACAAAAATTAAATTGTATCTTTGAATGATAGATTTTCAGACGACATTCTTGTCCGCAGGTCGCCCACGCACACGAGTCGCGGTTTTTTTTCTCCATTTTTGGGATTTGATCGGCACCACCCTGCGCGCGAAGAGAGCGTTTCCACCTAAGAATCTTAAGTCCTTCAAATGGGGTTACCTTTATAAAGGGGTGAAAATCACTTGGGTTTTCCGGTGTGGGATAAAACACACTAGAAACTCATCCTTTTTCCCAGTTTTTTCCGTTTCAACGAGTGAACTTTGAGAATCAATTTCTCATTCACCTGTTATCCGTTTTGAGTGTACCACATATTGAATTGTAGC